GTGTGTGTGTGTGTGTGTGTGTGTGTGTGTGTGTGTGTGTGTGTGTGAGGGAGTGAGTTTGTGCCCGAATACACTAATGACCAGAAACTTGAGATGCACCTATTGTGTATGTATGTGTCATACATGAACTGACTTACCATGCAGTTCTGCAAAAAAGGCGATGCATGCTGGTACATTTTTGCAAAACAGCAGTGTGTCCCTTTAAGCAACATAGTCCCTTCAGTCCCAAAGACTTGGGCATTTCAGCACAGGGCTCTCTGTTATGATGGCCTCACAGTGTTTAATGCACTGTGCAGAAGTTTGGTTGAACATTAGGTACACCTTGGTAAAACACAGCCGACTCAATCATTTATGGTCGCTGCGGTTTGTGGTCCTGTTGAATTGTGTTGCTTTATAGTGAGAGGTGTTTCTAATTCCATTCTGTCCACAACCCTCACCCAAAAACAATATGTACCCAAATGAATTGGTAACTTTAATGAGTCAGGAAAACAAGGGTTTGAAAGTCAGTGACTTGCTGTGTGTGATTCATTTCTTAACTCTACATACCCAAAACTTTCACTTTAAAGAAATCAAGTACAGAAAGAAATTCAGTCAAAATAAAAACAATAGGATTGCAATGCATTTATTGCTCACAGAATGAATTAAAAGCATCATCAGCGCTCACACCGGTGTCTCTCTGTTGACGGGGGGCTGCGTGTGGTGCAGCGGGAACTCGTGCTGTTTTGTAACCAGGTCCGTCATTACGTAAGAGAGCATAGTGAATTCCCGGTCTGATACCGAGTTGACCTCTGTCATGTGAGTTTTTATGATCACTACAAGGGAGAGCACACACACAGACATTGTTTCCAGCCGCATGATTGACTTATTTATCTGGTTATGGCTCCCCTCTACCATCTGCCCTCCTCCCTCGTTGTTCCACAGAAAACAATCGTGAAGATTCTTCAGCAATGTCAAAATAAATGTGTTTTCAAGATTAGTTTAGGGCTTTCTTTCAGCTTATTCTTAGGCTATTTGACAACTTTCTGTATCCAACACCAGTAAGGATCGATAGATAACAATACAGATTATTAGCAAACAAGGAGCCCAATAACCGATATTTGCAATATAAATACATTTTCAGTAACATAAATGCTCCTTTTTGACCTTTTCTTTAGTGCATCCTAGGGCTGGGCGGTATGACCAAAAATGCATATCACGGTATTTTGTAAGATTCTGGCGGTTTCACAGTATATCACGGTATTATTTTTTTCCGCTTTAAACCATTAATTAATTAACGCCGAAAAGAACCGGCCGGCCAACCAGCCAGCGAGCGGTGAACAGCTGTTTGTGTGGTGTGTCTTCCGTTCCGTCACTTCCTGTTTCCTCCACCTACATTCCCCTGGGTCCTAAGCCCCTCCATGTACAGCTTCTTATCACCCTCTATGTACCAATGTACATTTATATCAAATACCACACATATTACACGGTAATCAGCGGTGCATATGTGTCTAATCACAATACCTTTTGTTGTTCAGTCTTTGTTCATCCTGCATTGCTCTTTTCTGTTCTTTAATGTAATGTTACTGGAGTGACAGATCCTCTCCCAGCTGTTAGCAGATTGTTGTTAGCGAGCTGTACCCAGCATGCAGTTCAGCGGTGAAATTTTATAAATGTACAATTATTAGTGTTACAAATTGTTTATGTGTCACAAACTGTTGTGTCGTGGTGTTTTGCCCTGTTAAAGAGCGTTAGTTGTGGGTTGTTAATTGTTGTTATAAAGGTATAACCATGACTAGGGTTCCCTCTCAATACAGTTAAGAGAATTAGCTCCGACCGTGGCACTCTCAGCAGCGAACAATATATTTTGCTGCCTGTTGAAGAGCGACAGAAGTTGTTTCGGAAGTTGTTTTCTGGGTGTATGACGGTATATGAAGAATTCATTTCATACGGGAAATTAAAACTGGTATACCGCCCAGCCCTAGTGCATCCATCAACGAAGGAGAGAGAGAGAGAGACTGTCCACTCACAAAGAGGCTTCTAGTCACAAGGTTCATTCCCATCCAGAACCTGCATTGATTGTTTAAAGATATTGAAATTAAAAGATTTATTAAGAATAAATAATAGAGAGAAAAAATTAAGAAATCCGAAACCCATGTAAGACCTCCCTACATACACAAATTGGGAACATGAGACGTACAGTATGCCAAGCAGCACTGAGCCCAACATAAATATATAACTAAATAAAATAACATGACGCAGCGGTTTGGTTTTCCTCCGTCCTCCCCGATATTTTGAGTCACTGGAAGTTTACGTTGAGTGAGACTACAGAGTGGTGACTAATGACACAGCGGCTGCATCAGAGCCAGATTATTCTCATTGGGAATCGAGAAAAAAAAAAACAGTTCCAATGATGGTAAATATTCATGACGATATGGTAAGAATAAAAGTCATACAGCCACTCCAGATAAAATAAAACAAATGATTGACCGTTAATATTTAATTGACCTTTTTTTACCTTTTACCAAACCTCCTATCAGTATGTCAACGTTTAAACCACAAGTGTGAACGGAACCTCGTTCAGTGATACGTCTTGAACGGATTAATGGTGTCACTTGAGTACCACAGACAGTCACATTCTGCTTGAGAAGAAGACACACGTGTTGTATTTTCCTGTGTTAGGGTGCCCGTGCAAAAGAGGAATGAGGAACAATTGCTGGAGAGTCTTGATGACCAAGGTCTAATTGTAGCAATTTTAAAAGCTGAGGTGGAAACAGTAGTAGTAGTAGTAGTAGTAGTAGTAGCTATCGTCATGGTGTATCTTAAGATGTGTGTGGAAGCGTAGCTGCTATTGAGCGTAGTGGGTCTGGTCAGGCGAACGTCTCTTCCTCTGGGTTTTGTCTGGAATGTGTTTACTAGTTCTGCATTGGGTGTGTGAGTGTGAGAGAGATATACACACACACACACAGGAGCGAGTTGGACAGTGTCATTCTCGTGTGCAAAGCCGGATGCATTACAGCGAGGACGCACGAGCGAATGCCGAGCTGAATCCGTGTCATCACATCCACCTGCAGCGGCGCAGCGCGTCCGTACTCCGAGCATCCAGAGAACCCGAAATAGCCCTGACGTGGAGGTGAGGGGGAGGGTGGACGAGCAGCTCAGGCATTGGAAACCAGCGTCTCTGGTTACAGGAGCATAACATCACTGCAGAGTCCGTCCACCCAGCACTGCACTACTGCACAGCACACACTCGTAAACAGCCAGCTCCTGGAGTAACGCTCTCGACCCACATGTCTGGTGTGTGTTCGCGGGCCAACACACACCTCCCCTCTAAATGCAATGTGTGATTTGATTTATACTTTTCATTCATGCATATATATGAAAACTCACTGTTTTGTTCTTAATAATCTCCTTTTCTATGCTTTGTATTGTTATTTTTTACTACAAAGGCCCAGCTCCCTGAAGGCATCATCATCTTTTAATGTAAAATGTAAAAAACACAGGCAGCCACTCTTCTCTTCTAAGCTGTGTGGGCCTGATCTCGTAGATGTTTCAAAGTACGACAGGAACCGTTCAGCCGGTCTGTGTTGGTTCTCGGTTTTGTGTCGGGTTGTCTGGTGATAGTTTTGTGCTGCGGGGCAAAGGCAGAGAAGGGTTTATTTTGAGAAATGTGCTTTTCATAGATCAGATCGCCCCAAATGGAATTACATGTATGGATAAAATAATATTAGACTTTTGTTAAAGTCAGTCTTTTTGGTTGGCGTTGTCAGCCTCTGATATCATTTATTTACACACTTCTTTTGATGTCGCACTGAAGTTATTCTAATTTTTATTTGATTTCACAGAACTACATAGACACAGTAACATTTAATATCACTATACTTGTCATATTTTACTTCCTGTCCAATACAAACGCAATGACTATTGACGAAAAGATCTTTTGTGAGCTTCAGTCTCAAAATCTCTGACCTTCAAAACTGTAGGTTGGGAGATTGAGCTGGTTGCTCCTTTGCCTAAACCTTGAGCTATATTTACCTCACGCGAAACCATTCGGAGAAAAACAAGCTAGTTTTGAGACAGTTGTTCGCAAGACAGCTGACGGCAGCGCAGTGAAGACACGGTGACCTTGGGGGACGGCCGGGGGGGGCATTTCGGAGCGCGGTACTCCTCTGCTGCGCTTTATCTACTCCGCTCATTCCGCTCAATCATCTGCTCTTCTTCTTCTGGCGTGTTCATATCTAGACATGGCTCATGGGGTGTAGGATGGTTCTGGGCCTGTGAACTTTGACAGGGGGGGGGGGGGTAAAGAGTGGAGGGGGGATGAGAAGATAGATGGGGGGGAAAAAGAGATAAAAGAGTGACTGCAGAAGAAAAGGAAGAGGAGGATAATGAAGTGGAATGTAAGGGGTGGGGCACCTCTGGTATGTCAGCCCTCTACCGTGTGTGTGTGCGCGTGTGTGTGTGTCTAAACACCCCGCCATGAGTCAGTGAGTCAGACATGCGCAGCTGTTCAGCCCTCAGTCACACACCCGCAAACTGCTTTAAACTAACTCTGTTGCTCTCTCTCTCTCTCTCTCTCTCTCTCTCTCTCTCTCTCTCTCTCTCTCTCTCTCTGACACTCTCCGATTCGCCATTTCCCCGAGAAGCTCCACAAGCAGCTGCAACGAATGCAGGAAACTCGAGTAGTGATTCACAGAGATCTAAATGTGCGTTTTTTTTAAAGAAGGACAAGAAGCAGAAGAACAAGCAGGGGGGTACCCGAAGTATAGACTGAGCCACTAGTTCTTGTTGGCACCTATCGGCAACCTCCGGTGCTGACAAATGAAGCTCACGCTGAAATGCCAAAAAATGCAGTACCTCAAACGACCACTGGAGGTTGGCTCCAAAAGCAAGTCAGTCCCCATAGACCCCCATGTTACATGTTTACAGCAGAAACTAACATGTTTACAGCCTGGTACAAAACACCGTTTTGGTCTCTAAAGCTTTTTTCCCTGTTTATGACAACTGTACGGCTGGTGAATTTCTATAACACTCAACCGTTGCAATTATATTAAGGTTGTTGAGAGCCGTCGAAAGGCAGTAGAAATGCTCCCAATATAGCACATTTTGGGGGATAGCTTTGCTATCTTGTCTAGAGTGAGACGAGAAGGCCAACACCACTCTCATATCTGTGTGTCAGCTATGGACCTAAGGCTATGAGATGGTTAGCTTATAACTTGCTAACACAGAAAGATCTTGAGGAAAATCAAATAGTGAAAGATTGTTTTTTTACATCCATTAACATCAGTAAAATGTGAATATGTGGGTACAGCCAGCAGACCAAACCAACAGATGTGCATCATTTATGACCAAGTTGCAAAGTCTGAACTAATGAAGAGCTCAAAGAGACCTCAGCAGTCATTTTGATAGATAGGCGGAGAGAAAGTTGATCATTCCCCTCCCACCTTTTCCAGACCAATCTTTTAAGACTCCTCTACTTCCTCTTCCTCCTCGTCTTCCTCCTCTTCCTTCCTGCCCTCCCCCCCACCCCCGTGGCACTCCTCCTCCTCCTCTCCCCCATCTCATTCTTTGTCATCTCTCTGGGTGAATTCCCAGCTGACTCTGTTTGTCATGGCAACCAACTGGTCGTGGTGACTGGGCCTGCAGCACACACTTCCTGTGTGTGTGTGTGTGTGTGTGTGTGTGTGTGTGTGTGCAGACAGCAACTGGCTGCATGAGCCTGTCAGCCTGGATTAGAGTCAAACACACTGCAGCGATTCCTGTTTTCTTTCTTTTCTTTTCTTTTTCCCGTCCGTCTCTGCTGTCTTCCCTGCTTTCTCTGTTGCACCAATAATGCCCATCAGATGGTTTGATTAGACGGAGATCTGTTCAGCTACTGGAATGTGTACAGTATGTTCAGGGAATGCCCCGTTCCTTCAAAGCCCCCCAGATCTGATGAACTGGCGTTGCTGCCAGGAATTGAAATGAATTCAATGATTCTGACAAAAGAGAGAGAGAGCGAAGGAAAGAGAGATAAACAGACAGACAAAGAGGTGAAACTAAAATGTGACCTGTATCATGTAAATTACTGATGTAATAATGTTGAAAACCACCCTGTAGCCTGGAGAGGTTGACAGCTGTCTTGACGCGGGTCGAACACGGGGGGGGGGGGGGCTTAAAAATCTGGCCTATGATCCTGCTGTACAGCGGGGGGAATGCTGCTATTACATAACTCGTATGTGTGCGTGTGTGCAGTGGCGACGCTCCCTTTGCAGCTGCTCTTGGTTTCAATGTATGTTTTTTCTTTTGTTTTAAATCTACTGTTGCATTTAAGCAGCTTTTTGAATCACCACGGTTAAGCTGCTGTGCTTCAGTCTGCAAACTTCACTGGTGAGATGTGCTATGGCAATGGTAATCTAATGCTGTGATCTAGTGGTGCTGTTGGATTTGAATCAACATACCAAAAAACAAAAAGGTGTCGTTTTTTTTTGCAATATCAGAATAGTTTGTAAAATGTCCCCAATTTGGAAATACGAGTCGTGCTCTGAATTGGTTACAGAAAGTCATGGAATTAATGCGGTCTGGATTTCAATTTTCACAAACTTCTCACCATTTCTCTTATTTTTGGATATACCCGGTGGGGGGTACATTCATAAATCAGTAAAAGGTGATGTGACTGAAAGCGCCAAGCCAAGTCCTTCATTTTGGGTGATCCATAATGATGAGTGGATTCATTAATTGGTCGATCGCGACAAATTGAATGTCCCATAACAGCTCTGGGAAATTGTAAGGGGCAATTTTTTACTTACATCTAACATTTTATAAAAACAAACCGATAATCGTCCAAGAAGCTCAACATCACGTGTTTCTTGCCTTGTTATGTTAATGACGATTGACAAATGAACTCCTCTCTTCTGGTCTTGTGTTTTCCAGATATATGTTCGGTAAAGGTGCGAAGCGGAAGCTGGACGAGGATGAAGAGGGGCTGGAAGGCAAAACGCTGGAGGTGCCGGTGGCGGGAGGGGGACTAGGCCTCGTGCCAGAGGGCCTGTCCAAGGTGTCGTACACCCTGCAGCGGCAGACCATCTTCAACATCTCCCTGATGAAGCTGTACAGCCAGCGGCCGCTCGGCGAGCCCAGCCTGGAGCGCCGCGTCCTCATCAACAACATGCTGCGGCGCATCCAGGATGAACTCAAGCAGGAGGGCTCCCTGCGACCGCTGCTCCTGCCGCCCTCGCCGCCGCCCGACGACCCTATGGACGAGGGTTTCCGCGAGGCTCCGCCCTCTTTTGGCGTTCTGTCTGCAGTGGCGCAGGCGCCCCAGCCGTCGGTGCTGCTGATGCCGGCTATCATCCCGCCGCCTTCGCCCCACCCAATGGTGCCTCCCAACGGCCTGGCATCCCAGGCCTGCCCCGCCCCTCTGGAATCCTGCCTGACCCCGGCCTCTTTACTGGAGGAGGACGGTGGAGATTCGGCCTTTTGTACTCCATCCCCGCCCACTCCCCCTCTGTCGCCTCCCCCGGCGCAGCCTCCTCCGTTACCTTCAGCACTTCTGAGCCCGGCATCCCCCAGGGTCCCCGCGCCCGCCTCGTCCAACGATGGTCTCCCCTCCGCTCTGAGTGACATGGAGTTGGGTCCTCCCACAGCCATAACAAGGACAGCAGCAGCTAATACTACGACCGTGACTACCTCCCCATCTCCCACTCCACTCACCCAGCCCCCCCACCTAGCATCCCTCTCCCCATCACCAGCGGGCCCACTCCGAGACTGCAAGACCGTGGGTGCTAAACCAGAGGCAGCTGGCGCCGAGCTTCGGCCGATGGATACTCTGCCCACTCTGCCCCCTGGTGGCCTAGTAGACATTTCCTCCTCTCCTTCCTCCCCTTCCTCCCCCTCCTCCCCCTCGGGGTTTCTCTCAGACTTGGCGCTGGACGACGTCCTGTTCGCCGACATCGACACGTCCATGTATGACTTTGACCCCTGTACGACAGCGGGGGCCGTGGGCGCGACGGCAGGCGGCGGCCTCACCAAGCTGCCACCCGTGGTCACGGCGGACGACCTCCTCAAATCGCTAGCGTCGCCGTACAGCGGCCCCGCCCCCCAGGTCTCTGCCAATCAGCCTTTCAAAATAGATCTGACAGAACTGGACCACATCATGGAAGTGTTGGTGGGTTCATGACTGGCGGAAACCAGAAACACACAGACAGTTTAATATGAGACAGACTGGAATGAACACTTGGGGGTGTTTCCTGGTTGTTTTTTTAATGTTTTTTTTTTTTTTAACTCTCTTCAAAGGTCGGTAATTGTAAACATCGATGGTGATGTCAATTAGTACTACTATGACAACTACACAACACTGTGCATGCACTGTGCTCGCCTTTCCAAATATGGAAATGAAGTAACTGGGAAACAAAGACACACACAGGTTTGTATTTCTATACTTGTGAGGGCCTCCATTGACTCCAATTCATTCCCTAATCCTAATTTTAAACCTAGTTTTAATCTTTAACCTGAACCTAAGCCTTAACCCTGGGAAGTAACTGTAAATAGAAAACTTTGAGGACCGGCAGATTTTCCTCATTCTGGCGGATTTCTGCAATCATTCTATTCTTGTGAGGACATCTACTCCTCACAGGTATAGTTATATAAGTGAATTTACACGACACACACACACACATACACACACACACACACACACACACACACACTGAATTCATGGCTTTTTAGCAGACGAGTGCCTTTCAAAATGACCACTTCTTCAATTCCTGTTTTTACGGTATTTGTCTTTTTTCTTTTCTAGTTCTTCTCACTTTTAATTTTTTATGTATTGTATCGTGTTCAAACTATTATTCAGTAAGGTCATTTCTCATGATCAAAAAATATTATTATTATTATTACAGAGGCTGTTTTTATGTGTGTAAAGCGAGCATCAAAAAAGTATTTAACGATGACTGCGTTGTTTTACCAGTGTGCTGCATTACATGTTAGCTCGGCTGTATAACCACGCTTTGGGAACAGCTCTAAGACCACATGGCCCGGGTGTTCGTTCAACGTGTACACATCACATCTATGAATTCATTTCAGGACTTTTTCCCTTTCCTTGTTGTCAGCCACATGTAACTGCTGGATGCTGTTTTACATGAGCCCAAACTATGTGCTAGTTATCATGCTTCAGTCACAGCACAAATTCAAATGAGCTACACTCACAGGAGGGCTTGACGTGTTTACATTGGAAGCGGCGGGTCACGCCACCACCACCAACTCTTCGCCTCCCAGTCGAATGCAGATGATCTGAAAAGTCCAAAACTCAGCAGAGACTTTGAGGCTCCAAACACGTGAAATGCGGCTCTATAGGCCCCAAGACGAACAACGACTGCAAAGAATTTCTCCGAATCACACAAAGAAAACTGAATTGTTTTGGTTTGACTGAATTGTTTTGGTTTGGCTTCGACAGAATTAGCAACATGAGTGGCAGACAAATTACAGCGCGGCATACAGTATTACACACACACACAGTATGTTTACCCTCGTTGGCAGTAGGATCTCAGGGTTGGGCTCACTTCTGTGCGTTGTGCCGCACAGTTTTGATGCCGACCCCCCGAGCTCAGCACGTACGGCAGAGGGAGGGCTAGATCTGGTTCCAGAACAGTTGTTGGAATGTGGATTTTTTACAATTGTTAGAAAACAAACCACAATGTCAACCTGATACTGCAACCATGCAGAGGTGGCACCAGTGTGCAGATACATGGCGTGTTTTCTAGAGGCGATGCAGCAAAAGGCCTTTTCAGTCAGACAACGCAATGACGTTTTAACTAAAAGCTTCAAACTTTAAAGGAATAATCCACCGCTGGGGTACTTTAATGCATCACCAATCATTAATGTTCAATCTCATTCAGCACTTTGTGTGTGGTGACATGTTGGAAATCACCTCGGGGCTACTTTTGGTGAAATTGGATTCTGCACTCACGCAAAATGGTGACTTTTCAAAAGCACTCTGTTTGATGTTTAAAGCTGCATTCATCGCTTGTTTGTTTTGCTTTTGCCACTTGTGGACAACCAGCCCCGTCTCCTAACAATCTATTTCCCATACACCAAAACAAGTAGTTTGGTTGTGTTTCAATTTAGACGGTGTACAGCGCGTTTCAAAGTGTTTACAACTCCGACCGCGTTCCGGGAGAAAATACATTTCCCTGGAAAGCAAGTTGAGAGTGCAGTTAGGTTGTATGGGAACATTGTGTTGTAGGAGACCGAGTTGGGGCATCAGAACAAGCTCGAAACATAACATACGACATATTATGACCCTAGAAAGGTTTTTTTGACAAACGTGTTGGCTAACGTTTGCTGCACATTTGCGCATGCTTGTGTGAGTTCTGTCTCCGGCCGCCTGATAAGTTCAACTCCCATATTCCCTCTCTCTTTCGGACTGTTTGGGTCTCCACCAACTACTGAAGGGGGGGGCACCTTTTTCCCGATTACAGCCTGCTGCAGATAGAAATAGAGTCGTGGGAGAGACGACCAAAACAATGAGCTAAAAGAAGCTAAAACGCTCCAAAGAAATAAGGAGAACGTCAGAGTTTTGGTGCTGTGAGTTCATCACTACAAGCGACACCTCGCGCGTTAAGCCTAATCACTTCATGGTAATAATGTCAAAGATGTCGAGTGCAGACGCCGCAGATGGACAGTGGTGCAGAAATGCAACAGAGTGGTATTTTCCTTCAAAAGTAGTTATTTTTAAATTACACAGTTAACCCTAAACACGTCTGTGTCTGGTCATATATCTTTTTCTATCAGAGGTCCCAGCTGGTGGGACAGAAAGTGTTCCGTCTGACTCATCGCACTGTGTTAGCCGGCAGCAGTGAGGTCGGGGTGGTGTCAAAACTTGTTCCGGCAGAAGATCATTAGTTTCCCAGCATGCATTTGACCTCAGCCAGTAGCCGAGTGTGAGCTGAGCAGATAACGGCACCAACTAATACAGTTTGCAGACGACTGCGTCTCGTTTATTGTTTGAATTTTGGAGTGCTTGTTTTTTTTGTTTTGTTTTTTGTCAATGAAGTTATTTATTCTTATGTTTTTTTCTTCTCTGTGTAAATATATTTATTTTTGATGTGAAGTGAACATTTGGATTGTAAATGCGTGTACAGAATGTGTGGTAGGAATGTATCAGATAGGAATGTATCTGAGTATGGAATTATGGGTGAAAGCCATTTTTATATATATAGAGAGATTTATAGATATATATCTATATATATCTTTATATATGAATATATACATAGTTAGTTATATCATCTTTTTTATGTTTGTTGCTTTGTCCTTTTTCTGGGGTGGCGGCCATGACTTTTTACACCTTTTTTGTACTATTTTTGTTCACCGTTTTTTTCCAGTTGTGAAGGCGAACAGTTCATGCAGCAATACTCCGATGTCAACGACTCCAAAGCCTGTCACAGACGCTTCAATGCCAAAAGTAATGTACATAGTATGAACAACATTCAAGCTCTCGAGGCTTCTTTTTTTTGTTTCTGTCGATCAGTGTTTGTTACCAAGCCTCGTTTCGGCGCTGTACGGAGCATGCGGCGGTTCAAGTCGCCGAGCGAGGCCGATTTCCTCTGCGAAGGCTGTATTTTACACAGACCTCAGAGCTGTGCCTTTTTCTATGCAATACACAGAGAGAGAAACTATCAGCTGATCACTGTATTGGGATCCAAACGTGGACCGTAGATAATAAACATATATGTGTGTGTGTGTGTGTGTGTGTATAGTTATGTCTATATATACACACACACATATATATAGTATACGAGATAAATGGACAGCTGTCTATGAATTTGAAACAGTCTTACTTTTGTAGTTACAATAAACTGTAACAAGAGCAGGTGCCTGTTTTGTCTCCTTTCTGATATTGTGTACGGTCTTGTTCTTTCATATGCATGCACAGAAACACATTGAGCTTCATATTTACACAACTGACGTTTGAATCTCGACTCAAGGTCCACTTGCAAGCATTTTTTCCGGAGCTTTCAACCGCTTCTCACGACTGAAGAAGCTTTCACCGTGTGACCAAAAAGTCCCGTCCGTACTTGGGTCGTGCTGAACCGTCCTTTTTATGCCACAAAGTGTCAAATGTTTACCGACGCTACTTGTGTTTCATACTTTTTTTTGAAGGGCGGATAAAAGCTTTTGTTCAACTTTAAACAGTGAAGAATAATGGAGTCATGTGTAACGTGGCTGAAAGCTTCGGAGACACCAAGCAGGTGAACAAAGTTAAGAATTGTATCACGATGATGTCAAAATATGTATATAATTAACATAACATAAAAAAAAATAACCTTCCAGTTTTTTACCATGCAGTGCGATGCAACCCTATCAAAATTAGGAATTGTGTGTTTTTTTTTCTAAAGGTGTAAAATCTATTCATTCACTCAAACCCGGGTAGACTAAGACATGTTTTCACATGTTCACCCCCTCTGACAGTAGAGCGTTGCAGGGATGTATTTTTGCAGTCCAACAGGAAGTTAGCATCACACCGGCCTCTGGGATTTTTCTTTGGATTTAGGATTTTTTGCAGAAAATAAGCTCTGTGGCAAACGTTTATGATACTCACACCTCTTGTTCAGCGAGATAATCTTCACACATGAACACCACTTTTATGATTTTTAAAGCGTGAACACGATAGAACGTCAGGCCACAAACAAACTACACCACGGTCACATGACTTCACGTCACCACCACTAAGCTTAAAGGCGTGTAGTGTTGTTTTTTAGCGTTTGTAGATTCATTTAGCCTTTTTTAAGACTCACGTAAAAGCTTCAAAATTCAGAGGGATATTTACTTATCTATTTTATTATTATTATACTGTAGATTTATTTATTATTTTCAGAGGACAAAACATTAAAATCTCTTATGTGTTAACCATTGACCTCATTTCTGGAATCTAACCAAAAACATTGACTTTGAGACGAGGGAACTGGTAGTGCAAAAATGCTGACTCATCTCCTAGTTTTCGGGCTCGTTCAGCACTCTATCAGTTCTAAAATATTTGATCAGTCACGTTCGGCAAGGTGTTGTGCCATGGGCTAATCTTGTCTTTTAGGTTCTTCAGATGTTTCTTCACACATGCTACTAAGTGACCAGGTGTTTCATCTTCAGGGTTCCCTGGACTTCCTGAATATGCCTTCTTTTGGTGTTTTTTATCCTATTGGCCAAGGTGTTGCAATGACTCTGTACTGACTGTTATCACTAGCTCTACCTCTGAAAACAAATGACCCAACCATAGCCCTGTGGTGCTCCAGATAATGCAACAGTACAATAACTAAATCAAAACTCGTAGTCCAAACAAAGACATTTCATCCTCATCTGATTTCTGCAATTCTGTTTATCCAGTCAACTGTAAGTAAGGTCTCCACACACGGGCCTCACACCTGTACTCTCACCACCAAACACACGTGCATTAGATGTCTGGCCTTAATTTGCTCTTTGATTCCCCTGCAGCTCAAAACATTATGAAAATTCGAAGAACAAAGTGCTTTTGCACGGGAAAGACGTGCAATCGGATTTCCCACAAAGCTTTACGGTTGTTTTAAGAAAGATTTCTTGAAGAAAAATCAGTCCTTTGAAAGTGTTTTTTGTTGTTTAAGACGGACAGAGGGACGTAACAGACGTTCACATTAATGTCAGTATTTTGCAGTGCTGCGTCCTCTCCATCATCACAGACGATGGGATCGCATTTGATTTTCAATCAAGTGTTGGTACCAGCTTGATGCACTGCTTCTTCTTTGCGCTGGATACTGTGTGTCTCTGGGTAACAGCTCAGTAGTCTCCATCATGAAGCTTGGCCTGTGTCTCTCTCTGTTTTCACGGTGCCGACATTGGCCACCGTTGAACAGCCGTGACTCCTGATCTGCAGGCCGGTGGTTTATTTCCAGCGTTCAGGCCGCACAGCTGTGCGGGGACAGTCCGTCTCTATTGGTCGAGGAAGGGGAAAGTTTATTTTAACTTAGCAACAGCGCGAGCTAAGGTCACCGAGGACAACACAGCAGACCGCCAGCAACAGGCAGAGAGACAGAGGGCTGTTGTATCCACACACTGCTTCTCATGTTATTGTGTCAGTGTGGCAGGTGGATGATTAAAACACGACAGTGTTGTTTTTATGAAATGCTGATTTTACACCAAAAACTTCAATGTTCCCACTTATTATTTGAGAAAACACACCCAATACATATATAATTCACATTTAAGCTCCATTACTAAACGCTGGGTTTATACATGTGTTTAATAATAATAACAAGAATAATAAATCAAAGTATATCACAAAATGTAAAAGACAGATGCAAGAAACAGGTAGATTAAAAACCTTTCCAGCAGAGCCGGAAGTTAATTACGCCTGACCTTTGTCAGGCGTAAGAGCGCCATCGCGCTCATGTTATTACAGCGCCATCTCGTGGTTAAATACCGGAGGCGCAACGAGGATTCACACGAATTCATGGTGGACAAATCTAAATTCCACATTCCATGTATTTATCCGTCTTTATACCTCAGAGAGCTTTAACTCTCTACTCTCTAAAGATAAAACTATTCCGTCACCCTTGCATTAAGAAAAAGAAACAGGTGGAAAGGAGCGAGCAACAGCGGCCTCTAGGAGGCCCACAGCGCCCCCCCCCCATCCATCGCTCCCTCTCTGGGGACCTGACAATGGAGGCCAACACCCCTCTCGCCGGGACTGCTGTGAAAGGGCAAGAATCTGTGAATCAAACTGGGTGAATCATTTGTTTGATTGACGGTCTTTGTGTCGGCTTCTCGCACATCATCTTGCAGAGAGCGGCTTATCATAACAGGGTTATTGTACGATCAGATGGCTTCTGTAAAGACCAGCACTGAAATGAATGGCCCATCTGCATGAAGTAGGCCAAGAGAACATCTTTCACTGCAACAGAGAATCTACACAAGAACATGTGTCTTTTATGTTGAAAATATAGCTGCAGGATATTCCAGGAATACCCAGGGGAAGGGGGACATCCTTATTACTCTTATGCATTTGGTAACTGAGATAGTGTAGCATATCATAGATTTTTTTCATTTTTGAAATATGTATATTCTTAATTTGGGCAGAGAAAATGAAGAGAAATGTAAAATGTTTGGGAAGTCTTCTTCTGTTTTAATCATCAACTTTATTCAGAAGTGGGCCACATTGCCGGAGACCCCTGGCAATCTCCCATACTCTTGCATCATTTGCTCTCGGTAGAGCGCCGGTTTGTGTGCGCAAGTTCCACAGGCTGCCCGTGTCGTCGCTCGCTCTCCATTGGCTCCCCACTTCCCTCAGCCTTTCACGCCGGGCCAGCCTTCACACAGTGTGTGCATCCAACCTACGCTGTGCCTCGGAACTCGGACTCCCAACGCGCTGTTCTGAAGAGAAATTCAATTTAAACCTCAACAAAAAAGAAAAGATGGAGAAAAAGAGCGAGGTCAACGGGCACGCCGTGCCCAGCTCGGCGGCCACCGACCGGCTCGTGGAGCGGGGCGCGCGGAGGAGCTGCCTGCAGAAGCTGGCGGAGTTCCTGAGGAAGAACCTGCTGGTGATCATGACGGTGTCCGGCGTGCTGGTGGGCGTCGGGCTCGGCATGCTGGTCCGCAGCATGAGCCTCACCAAGGCGCAGAAGACCTACTTCGCCTTCCCCGGCGAGATGCTCCTGCGGATGCTGAAGATGATCATCCTGCCCCTGGTCGTCTGCAGCCTCGTGTCCGGCGCCGCCAGCCTTGACACCCGCTCCCTGGGGAAGCTGGGGGGCATCGCGGTCGCCTACTTCCTGGTGACCACGCTGATCGCCTCGGGGATCGGGGTGGCGCTGGCCTTCATCATCAAACCCGGTGTGGGCGCGGGGTCCCTGAGCCTGGGACTGGAGACACTCAGCAGCAACAAAGAGACCACCGACTCCTTTCTGGATCTGGCCAGGTATACTGTGGCAACACGAATCATTTATAACAATATGTAGGCCACTGATGAATAAGAAGCAGATCTGGTGGGATATTCTAGTAGTTTGTGTGTGTGTGTGTGGTGGGGGGGGGGGGGGGGGTGCTCAGTGTCAGTCAGTCGATCGTTAAAAAAAATGAACCGCTTTTGTGTTGTGTAACTCCTTAGTTCAGAGTGGATCACAGCCGTTCACGCGCTCATAAATCAGGCAAAATCTGTAATCCACGTGTCTGTAAATTCCATCTCTCCATAACGGTATCACGAATAGCGCTGCGACTAACCATTATTTTTTATTATCGATTAAACTGTCGTTTTTCTCCCTCGATTAATCGATTCGTTTTTCGGCCTTTAATATAAGAAAATGGTAAAAAAAAGAATGTCGATCCGTTTCTTTGTAAGCCCAAGAGTCCTCAAAAGTCTTTGTCCACAAATCAAAGATGCTCATTTGACTGTCATAGAGGAGTAATGAGACAGGAAGTTATGCTTATTAATAACTAAGCTGGAATCAGATTTGTCTCCAAAAATTACCCACCCAATTAACCAATTATCAAAAGAGTATGCAATTCACGTTTTTTTAAATCGATTAAAGGAACAGCCCGTAGAATTTAGGGGGATTTATTGACATTATTTGATATAATATTCATAACTATGATTTCATTCGTGTATAATCACCTGAAACTACAAATTGTTATGTTTTTGTTATCTTAGAATGAGCCCTTCAAATCTACTTGGCGGGTCCTCTTCACAGAGTCCACCATGTTGCATTGCCATGTTGCATTGCCGTGTTTTTAGCCCATAACGGACTAACCGAACACTGGCTCTGTAGAGAGCCTTTTGCAAGATAATATTTTTCTTCTGAGAAATTTGAGTTAGGATGTGCTTGTTATGATCGATTTAGGCAATGTGATTGTTTATCACGATATCTCGATGTATGATATCTTCACAATCATTTCTTATTGGAAGACGATACATTTTCATATGGAGCTGTGACCCAGACCTAACTGCAGCTAGGTCGTTATATTTTGTTGCATGAATGATCAGCCCTTCATCACAGACTCCTTTCCAGCGTTCATGACCCTCTGAACCAGAAGCCGGGCAATACATTGATATTATATCGATATCCTGATACAAGACTAAGTATCGTCTAAGTATTGGATATTGTAATATCGCATAGGTGATGTCTTCCTGGTTTTAAAGGCTGCTCGACAGTTAAGTGATGTCATTTTCTGAACTCACCAGACTAGCTGTGCTTTTATTTACCTTTTATTGACTCAGTTATTATACCCACATTACTGATGATTATTTATCCAAAATCTCATTCTGTAAATAGTTTATGAAAGCACCAACACTCAACCCTACAAAATCGTCACAATATGGAGGTAGTTGATTTTCTTCATACTCAAATCCTTTCCACCACATGCAGCTCAGTCAGCGCCGGAAAGTAACAAATTAACACAATTTGAGGTATTTGTACTTGTCGTACTTTTACTCAAGTAAACGACCCGAGTACGTCTCCCACCACTGAGTCCAGCATGCAGCTTAAGGCGATGCTTCTCTTCTTGCTTTGCCTCCCGAGTGGAAAAGGAACAAGGGCATGGCGGAGCCATTTCAAGATCTGATTGAGTGGGCACCATGATGTATGGATTCTATGTTTTTTACCTGTTTTTGGCTGTGTTCAAGTGGCAGTTTCTACTTTTCCTGTCCAGAAACTGCCAGCTACTGGCTTGTTCAGAAAGCCTGTCCAGGAGGAGCTCCTACGGTGTGAGGGAAAGCTGACAGCTGTTGAATGAGCGGAGTGTATTTTAAGGAAGGGGTAAGAGGTGGAGGGATACAACAGCACCGTGAAGTACAAACTGAACACTGGTCTGCTGCAGTCAGCATTCCTCCCTTATCACAATAGCAGGTGGACGGGCTGGTTTTACTTCCCAGTCTTATATTTGTAGTGCTGACGAGTTGCTCAAAGCATTCCAGGAAGGATTAGACCGGCACAACTCTTATGCTTAATGGCATGCTGATGAATTTGGACTGATAGTTTGGGGTCTTTAAGATCATTTTCATCCACTGAGGTTAGAAATAGCAGTCAGGGCATGGAAGTGTTGAACCTCGGCGGAGCTTCCTGGACACGATGCTCAAGGCCAAATATTGTCTTTATCAGTTGCTCTTTTCCCTGTGAGAGTTGTGTGATTCTTCTGTCAACACACTCTCATTTCTTGGACAAACAGGTCTCAGAATTCCCAGAATTGAGCTTTTATATGAAACTGGAGAAAAGAAATGAAAACCTAAACATTATTCCAAGGTAAACTCTATTCTTTAAAAAATTCTTCCCACAGTGATCTAATTTCTTCATGAATTTAAACAACTGATCTCTAATTTAAAAACATGTATTTGTATTGAGTTTACTTGTATTCAAACAAAATACAAAACTACATCGACGGTAACCAGTGCACACAAACTCTGCAATAAAAGACCCGCACTCATACCAGACACACATTCCCTGCCAGTGATGGAGAACATTTAAAAAAATCATTGGACGAATGAACCCAGGCTGTTCTCATCCACTGTAATTTGTTCATAACCAACGTAATTGTGAGCCAGCATGTGCGGGGTTTCCTTTAAGGTGGTCAGGTTTTATAGTATAGAGTAGGGAGGAAGTCGGGGTGGATGGGTGAAGAGATCACTGTTCGGGCCCAGCGCGAAACCAAAAGTCATCAGTGACTCATTTTATTTCACTTTTGTTCAGTAACTTACTTACTTAACTTTTGCCAGCTACTTTAGTTATGTAACAAAGACAAAACATTTTACGTAACAAACACATTTTAACACAAACACAGGACTTTCACCCAGGAGACCGCTATTCGTTGCATAACTTACGTCCTTAACTAATCCCAGTTATGTAAATTAGGTAACAAACATATTCCGCTGTTTGTTATGTAACTTACATCCTAAACTAATGCTAAGTGACGTAAGCCTCATAATAAATATACTTATTTTACATAACAAACATACTTATTTTGACCCAAACACAGGACTTTCACCCAGGAGACCTCTGTTTGTTACGTTACGTATTTTCTTAACTAATACCAGTTACATAGTTACACAACAAACATACTTATTTTACATAACAACCGTTCTTACTTTAACCAAAACTACGCTCTTTTCCTCAACGTAACCACGCACTTTTGTTGCCTAAACCGGTTCTGCCCTGCAGGAGCACACTGATTGCTCATGTTGCCAGACATTTGTAGGCGAACGCATGAAAAATAACAAATAACTTTTTGTAAGATCAAAACATATCATACAAACCTGTATGATACGCTTGTGAAACGCGTAGTTACAATCATGGTAAATAACGTAAAACAATTTAATTAACCCTGCTTTTCTCTTTGCTAACAATAAAGAAAAAACATTTCAATAGCTAGAGAAGGATGAAATTCTATATGACAATACATATCTTACTGTAGAATGAATCTGAATTTAGGGACATATGTCCAGCTGTGAGAGAAAACTCCTAAACTGTTGCAATAAGTGTTTGACTCAGAATGTATAGAGCCAGTAAGTCAGAATCACTCCTGACCACATTAGCTGGATAACCCGCTTCTGCTGCCTTTAATTAAAAGGAGCCAATGTTTGGCTTCAATTAATTAGTAAATCAAGTTGTTACGTAACAGCTTTTAAAAATCAGTCTGCAGAGAGAAAGCAGTGGGGCTCCCGGTGGGAAAAACATGCCAGCTCTCAGCTCTGGTTTCCCAGAGTTAATCCAGAATCCTCACCTCGCTCATGTGACGGCAGGAAACCCGATTGCCCCCACAGAAAGAAGACGAGTATGAAACCTTGTGTGGGTGCAATAATTTAACCAAACAATTGTGAATAATGAAACAAAGTAATGACTAAGTGTATGGATCATGGCTACCTTCCAGAGTGGCCAGTGTGGCTGACATATTTAACAGTTGAAGCAGCATTTGGCCCTGGTTTGAAGGCAGAGCTGACAGGGGTCATGGGATTCTGTGGTCTGGCCATGGGAATAGATGAGAGCAAAGTCTGTAATTCTTTGCACAATACAGTGTGGCCACAGTGGATAAAGTTACAACAAACACACTAATACATGGAAAAAGCCTGCATGCTTCCAGTAATCCCTGTATGCTTATTTTACAGTCGTGAAAATAAAATCAGCTCAGTGCCTTTACAGAAAAAATGACAAGGAAAAAGTTTTCTTTGATGGATTTATAAACGATAATTGCTTAAAGGTCCCAAATCATTTATTTTATTTTATTTTTTTAGGTCTCTTACTTTGGTCCAGACTGAAATACCTCAACTGATGGATTGCCAGGAAATGTTGTACAGACATTCATGCTCCACAAAGGATTAAGAAAACTGACTTTAGCAATCTCCTGACATTTCCTCAAGACATTTTGGGTTTTCTAGTCAAAATGCCTTGACAACAAAAGTTCTAATTAGCAAATGTTAGCACGCTAAACTAGAATGGTAACATGGCGAGCATTAAAGGTGCTGAATTTTAAAACTCCGAGCATATCTACAGCCTCCTCTCAGCTCTTAACATGGCGACGGGTGAGCCACAGCTAACAGTGCTGTGGCTGTGCGGGTCAACAGGACCGCATATAAAAACAAAGCCCGAGTAGCTCAGATACCAACACACACACACAAAGAGAGCAACTTCACTCTTGGCTCAGGTAGACATTACTCCACTCAATCTTTACATAGCAGAGAGTTGTTTGCTGCTAAATCAATGCTCTGAATATGTCACAGTGAACCTTTAAACCTGACCTGAGTTGAACAATATTTGCTAATATATAACATTTCTTTAATAGCTTTTACTTTCATATACTGGAAATTTGACCTTCCACAGGCCTACCGGGGTGCTCAATGGCCTGTGCTGTCATGGGGGAAAGAACCAAACATTGCACATCATATGTATGGAAATCGCAGCCTGGGACCTGTGCAGGCAGGTGAACAAACACCTCAGCTATTAAAGAACTTGTTTTGTTGTTGATAACGAACATGCACTTACCTAAGTTGATAGACCTGTGTGAGGTGAGGACATAAATACCCTTTGGCTGTCACGCTAAAATGTCAAGTACAAGAACATATACGATTGTATGAGCTGAAGAACAATAAAAGCGGTGCGGTGAACGACTTCCAGGGCGATAAGCCATGCCCCCTCTCCGGCGGCCGTCCAGCGCGATTCACGGCAATGAACACAAATGGTCCCCGGCGAGACCGGCGGCGCGAATGACGCGATTAACGGTATGAACACGGCATCATGCATGGTTCGTTGAGTGGTGTCTACAAACAGCAGCATGTTTCAGCCTGTTTCAGCAATGCAACTTTGTTAATCTTGACATTTGGTTAACCTTGACCTTTGGTACAACTGCTTTACGCCCTGTCAACACTGTTTTCATGTCTTGGTAATAGTCAATAACATGATCTGTCATTCATTATAAAGTAGGAGAGCAAGCATGAAACCTCTGTGGGTATATAGACACCAAATACACCAAATGTGGCAAAACTCAATTTTTTCGAGTCAAAGTTGCAATTTTGCAATAGATTATATTAGATTACTCCTTATAATATTCAATCCCATGAGAGAAACTCTGTTTGCAAAATAAATCAATTATCAAACAACTGTCCATGTATGAATTATTTTTAAATATCCAGAATATATAGAAGTCTTTAAACTCCTGAACAAGCAGAAAAAAGCAACCATGTCTATTATATTCAACTAAACTGCGCTCTCATTTAAGTTTTGAGGGAAACTTACTTTTTAAATTTTGGTTCACATTGGACACAACCATTATTGTACAGGTGAAAACCTGTTTTTTGACCCATCCACCACCCTCATCTCCTCTCGACATGGACTTCGAGATACATCACAAGAAAACGTAATCTACAAGAAAATACTTTGCACTCAAAACGTAGTTCAATACTCAACTTCGTTGTATGGGAAGGTCATTTTTAGGAGAAAAGGCTGGGAAAAACACAATAGCTGTAAATGAATACAGTGAAATGTCCAGAAATATCTAATCCCAGTAAAGAGCTTGGTGATTTGTTTTGATAAAAGATGAACCAGATAGTAGCTCAGTGCCAGAACAACTGCTCTGTCAGGGAATTTAGGGAGCATTGGACTTTATAGAAGGTCCTGGGAGAAGAGCCAACGTGTGTGATGATAAACCAATCCTGTGAACATTTTATCATTCCGATGGGCAAATCTAAGTCCTGGAAGACTTTGGGCTGCTGTTACTTTTTGTTTTTTTAACAAACTCCAGGCTTAAATATTACCAAAGTTTTTAATCAATTACAAATATCAAACAGGACAAAACATATTGTCTGTTGCGCTCACTTGTTTTTCTCTTTCTTTCTCAGGAATTTATTCCCATCGAATTTGGTGGCTGCTGCTTTCCGTTCTGTGAGTGCCTCACACCCTATTTCCTCACCACACCACATTGTCCACACTATTTTTTCCCACTAATTCCCCTTTTCCATCACCACGTTCAGTCTTATTTCTTCTGTGTCTTGTGTGCACTGTTCATCAGAATTTATTTCACCATGCGGATGCTGCTCCACGTTCATTTACAGCGGCAGTAAATCGGCGCTGAGAGCCTCATAAGGCCTCTTAATGAGGAGACGTTCAGAATAGAGACCGCTGCTCTCCCCTGCTCGCCAAAACGCTTCTTTCCCTTCTCCCTGACCAGCCGTTACCATGGCGAAACCATTCCATTCCAGCCAGCCTAGCAACCCGCCTCACCTCGCTGCTCTTGAACGCGGTCCGCTCCGCTTCCTAGAATTATGTTCACGGCTGTTGAGGCTAAAAAGACAACCAGGAAAGTTCAATATTTGGGGATGCAGTGATACACAATGGCTATGCACACATGAAAAGCAGGGTACGCACACAGACACGTAGTCACCCACACACACACACACACCCGGACCGTTTGCCTCAAACCCGCCTAAAACCAGGCAAGTAGATTGTAAACTCGCAAACAAGCCAGTGACTTCTCACAGGGACAGGAAATGGAGTTTCAAAGTTCAGCCAGGTCACAGAGTTCAATATTCACCCCCACCAGCCAGCCTATACTGTGGCAGAGCCCCTGTGGAATGGGTCCAACTGTGGATTAAACCAAGAAAGCAGAGGAGAGGGGAGATTAACACAACATGACAAGCAGCTAGATGCTTAAACAGACATTCAAACAAATGAAGTGTAAGATTTAGCCTATGGCTGTCTTTTTAGTTTTATGACTGTAATCAGGTAGAGTATGTCTCTGAGTGCCTTAGTATGTTTAAAGAATCTATAGCCTCATTTAAAGTCAGGTCTGTCAAGATGTCAGAAACCTTTATCACAGAGGGCTTTTTAAAGAAAGGCAGGGAGGGGGCATTGTTGTCTCTGCTGAAAGACTGTCTGAACGTGCTCATCAACTCCATGCACATGCGGCATTCCTTGTGAGAGCAATGTACAGACGTTCAAAAAAATTTTTTCCACCATTGGCAGCCGATGACACCAAGCTTAGCAACATTTGAAAAGTCCACTATGCACATCTATGCAAACGGTATTTGAGGAGGCTTTTTGTAAACTTCTCAACCATCAAAAAAAACAACTATCCATCACTTGAGGTTTTCACTTTACATAATTTAAATGCTGCTCTGATGGAAATTGATATAGTGGTTTGACAAGAAACATGTCTGTGGCTTAAGTACGGAGTCGGAGCTGCGAGGCGATTAGCTTAGCTTAGCCTAAAGACTGGAAGCAGGGGGAAACAGCTAGCTTCGCTCTGTCCAAAATGTGTCTACCACCGTGACAACTTCTCACTAATAAACACGCGTGGAGTTGTGAGCTTGGACGAGTTTCGTTGTCAACGCGACAATGTACTAGACAAAAATGCGTGACTGAACACCGCCCAACAAAATGAATCACAAGCTTTCCTTCCCCTTATGTTGCAGTATGCCACTGACTACGAGATGGTTGCCGTAGGGAACGACACCAATGGGACAACCCTTTATCAAAAGGTATGAACTGGAAGCATCCCATGCATACAGTCACACACACACAGCTGGGGCAAGATTGTTCACACTTTGAAAAGTCAATTTCATAAAAGAAGACTTAATAAAGCTCTCATAACTGAGCAACTTGTACTTCGTCAGAATTATACAGTGGTGCCATTTCAGTTTTGATCCATTATTTGTAGTGCTTGTTTGGGTAGTGACATAACAGGTTTGACAGTTGACTGTGAAGCCTGGCTCCATGTCACACTATTAGGTTAAATGTAAAAAATATCATCTCATGCATTCGCATCTGCCTTCAGGGGTATGCAATGTCTTATCATTCTAAAACAGTTCAGATTTGTCTTTACTGACCTGCATGTCTTATTTCAATGTATTGAAATTACACCTTTAAATGTTAAATCACTGACTTTGCTATCTGGTTAAACAGGGATGGACACTGGTCTCTGGTTCACCGGTAGAAGTCTGGTGTATTTTTACATTCACGTCTTGGCTGGAACAACCTCTAAACAAGTGCATGAAGTCTGACAAAATCGTTTCTATTTTTGTAGTTTGGTGAGTTTTCAGTCAGTCAAAATTGTTGACCAGCACCCAGGTCTGCTTGACCCACCGGATATCCATTGGGCCTGTGACGAACATAATGGGTCCGTCTAAACAGGGAACAAACAAGGCCTGGCAGAGAGCTGTTTGCAGATTTCCAGTCTGCCACATGGGGCTTATTCAATGCATTGGATGTTGGATCATAGATGATCCTCCATCATTGCAGTTCCCATTGCAGATCTTCTTAATCCGTCCCTTCACACTGCTCTAGGCCCATCTCTAAACTGCCTTGACAATCAAAAGTGTTGCACTTCTAATTTGCTAAATTTTGAACATACAGCAAAAAATCCTCTAAATCCCTCTACTTCTCCCCAGTGGCTATGGCTCTCCCCCACTGACCCAGTATGAGGGAACAGTTGGGTGATCTGATCTTGGCATTGGCCCATGGTATTTGTCTGCCGTGGGTCCCCCCCCCCTCCCCCCCCCAGTGCCAGGGGATGGAGTTGTGGGAGAGCTCAGAACAATGGAAGGGGATTGAGCTCAGGATTTGTCCCTGTCCGTATTTGTTATCCATCATGCAGTTCACTGAATCCTTCAACTGCCCCCAGACCTGCGCACCTATGCCTGCATACTGTGTAGCGAGAAGTGCTGTATAAACTACTGCGGGATATATCAACACTGTTTGACAGGCCTCCACCTCCATACTGAAAGGCTACAGATGAGGTCCCAGTCCAAGCTTATAGTATGTGTTGCTCCACCACCGTGGTCCAGACCGAAATATTTTAAACAACTAATGGAAGGATTGCAATACAACCTTGTACAAACAGTCATGGTCCCCGTAGGATTAATCCCATGGAATTTAGTTATCCCCTGACTTGGAGTAAGATATATATCTATTGGATGGATTGGCACAAAATGTGGCAAATACATTCATGGTTCCTGGACAATGTGTCGTGATGGCTTTGGTGAACCCTGTCTTTTGCTCCAGCCTCCACCATAAGGCAGACATTTCTGGTTCAGCGTGAAAGTACTGACTACCATTGTATATGTAATTCATGCAAGATGGCGGATGCTGGCAAAACTCTTGGCTGCCGCTCCGTACTTGATTGTTAAGTTTTGTTAAATTTTGCTGTTTAAATGGATCCCAACGCTAAAAACCTGGCCGATAAAGTTGAGCTGCTTGTTTGCGGCTAGATATTGCCGTCTACCATCCATTCTACTCAAACATCTTCACTGGATTAGCCACACCAGATCAACCTACCGTCTCCATCTGCCGAAGCTACCTCCGTGCTAGCCCCAGGACTCCCGGGTCTGGTCCACAGCGCTACATCGTTGTCCTGCTACTGGAGCTGTCGGTCTTCCCTGCCTGCTACATCACTTGCCAACACGAGCGGCCTGCAGGAGCACACTTGTTTACCCTGCCGGAATCTTTCCGTCCCGGCGCGGTTAGCAGGCTCGGGTTGGTCTTCTCCGCTAGCCACAGCCGCGCACCAGACCTCCATTTTCCGGGCAGGATCGTCAGGCAAACAGGCTGGTAGCCCCTCCAGGCCACCACTCCTTCCTCACCGGACTGTTGGCGTCTTGCCGCTGTTATGTTGTGGATCATCCCGTTGATACTCCTGGGTCTCACATCGCTTCTCCTCTCACGGACAGCCGGCTCTTGGTCACCAGCTAATGCTAGCTTATTGCTAGCGCTCCCCAACCGGACCATGCCGCCGCTGTACTCCACGTCAGATCTTCACAACTTCAACAACCACCTGCGTCCGGATTACATGGACATTCTCAAAGAACATGGAATACTTCGCCAAGGCAATCCTTCACACAGAGGTTCTGGCCGCATGTTCACTTACAACTTCACGTCCCCAAACTCCATCCCATCCCTATGGTCCTGTCGCACCCGAAATTCCTTGTTACGTCACCACAACAAACAACACGTGAATCTGTCCAATCTCCCCTTCCTCAGTCCTCACAGCATATCACAAAGCAACGTCACCTGAAACTGGCTTTGCTCAACACTCGCTCACTCAACAACAAAAGCCTCATTCTGAATGAATTCATAAGTAACAGTAACCTTGATTTCCTCTGCCCCACTGAAACATGGCATAAATCCCTGGACTACTTCTCACTAAACCAGACCACTCCCACCGGATTCACATACATTGACAAACCTCGTCCTGAGGGGCGGGGAGGTGGTGTTGCTGCTGTTTACAGGAAGGACATCAAAACAACCACCATTCCAATTCCTGCCGTTCATTCTTTTGAACACCTTGCCTTCAAACTCTCTGGTCCCACTCCTTTGGTTACTGCTGTAATCTACCGTCCCCCCAAGCCAAATCCCTCCTTTCCCTCTGACTTTTCAGATTTTTTGACTCAGCTATGTGCCATCTCACCTTCCGTTCTCCTCCTAGGTGATTTTAACATCGACATTGATAACACTGACTGTAAATCTACGACAGAATTCCTGGAACTACTACAATGCTTCAACTTCACACAACATATCAACTTCCCCACCCACAGCCGAGGTCACATCCTGGATCTGGTCTGCTCCACTGGTCTCACAATACCGCAACTCTCCAGCCTCAACCTCAACATCTCTGACCACCTGGCTATCACCATGGACATTGACATCCCTATCCCCATGCCAAAAACGAAGCTCAACATATCCTTCAGAAATCTCAAATCTATCTCCCCCACAACTCTCAGCCTCTCTTGCCAGTACCATGTCTGCCTCCCCTGCCCCGCTGTCTGATAATCCCTCCGATCTTGTAAACTACTACAATAACACACTCTCCTCCTGTCTTGATCAGCTGGCTCCCATCAAAACCAAAACTGTCTCATTCACACACTCAGCTCCCTGGTATACTCCTGAACTCCACCAGATGAAATCTCGAAAGCGCCAGCTTGAAAGACTCTGCAAGAAAACCGATTTAACAGTCCATCTCCAAGCCCTCTCCGACTACCTTCAACAATACAAAGACGCTCTCATTTCAGCCCGGTCCACCTACTACTCACACCTCATACACTCTGGCTCCTCTAACCCAAAGGCTCTCTTCTCCACAATAAACAAGCTTCTCAAACCCAAGGACAACACCTCCACATCCTTCACAGTGAACAAATGCAACTCTTTTCTTTCATTTTTCCAAACAAAAATTGACACCATTTATAGCAACCTGAACACCTCCCCCGCCTTTTCCATCTCTCCACCTGCCTCCCCCTCCACCACCCCTCAGCCCCTTTCTCAGTTCTCCCTTGTGTCCCCATTGGAGCTGCCGAACTTCACAACTGGAATGAGAAGCTCCACCTGCATCCTGGATCCTATCCCATCTACTCTGGTCAAGGACTGTCTCCCAGCCATCTCACCACTCATCACAGTCATCATTAACTCCTCCCTCAGCTCCGGTTCAGTCCCCAACACACTTAAACTGGCTGCTGTCACCCCCATCCTCAAAAAACCTGGACTTGACCCTGACACCATGAGCAATTTCCGTCCCATTTCCAATCTTCCCTTTCTGTCAAAAATACTGGAACGCATTGTCGCCACACAACTCAAAGCCCACCTCATCTCCAACGATCTGTTCGAGCCATTTCAATCCGGTTTCCGTTCACAGCACAGCACTGAAACAGCCCTCCTCAAAGTCACCAACGACCTCCTCCTCTCCTCCGACGCTGGTCACCTCAACATTCTCATCCTCCTCGACCTCACTGCAGCATTTGACACCATCAACCACAACGTCCTTCTCTCCCGCCTCGAATCCTCCCTCAACATCACCGGAACTGCTCTCTCCTGGATTAAATCATATCTCACAAACAGACAACAGTTCATCAGTATCAACAACTGCACCTCCACCACTGCTCCTCTGTCTCAAGGCGTCCCCCAGGGTTCGGTGCTTGGTCCTCTTCTGTTCATCCTGTACTTGCTCCCTCTTGGTAACATCATCCGTTAACATGGTCTTCAATTTCACTGCTACGCCGATGATGTCCAGCTCTACATCTCCACAAAGGCCATTACCACTGCTACTCACTCCACTCTCACCAACTGCCTCACTGACATTAAATCATGGATGCAAACCAACTTCCTTAAACTGAACTGTGATAAATCTGACATGATCATCATCGGTCCCACATCCCTCACCAAAACCAGTCACAACTTCTGCCTCACCATCAACAACTCCACTCTGTCTCCCTCCCCACACATCCGCAACCTTGGAGTCATGTTCGACAGCAACCTCTCCTTTGAACACCACGTCAAACAAATCACCAGAACTGCCTTTTTCCACTTAAAAAACATAGCCCGTCTCCGCCCATCACTGTCCTCATCTGCTGCTGAAACTCTGATCCACGCCTTCATCACCTCAAGAATTGACTACTGCAACAGCATTCTCCACGGCACATCATCCAAAATCCTAAATAAACTCCAGTACATCCAAAACTCTGCTGCTCGCCTGCTCACCCACACCCGCTCCCGTGACCACATCACCCCTGTTCTCTAGAACCTCCACTGGCTCCCCATCCCACAACGGATCCAATACAAAATCCTTCTCCTCACTCATAAAGCCCTCCACAATCAGGCCCCCTCCTAGCTTACCGACATGCTCCACCACCACACTCCATCCCGTCGGCTCCGCTCCTCTGATGCCAACCTCCTGTCTCTTCCACTCAGGACCAAGCACCGGACATGGGGTGACAGAGCCTTCTCCATCTCTGCCCCCTCCCTCTGGAACTCTCTCCCCAAACACATCCGAGACTGCACTGACCTTTGCACATTCAAATCTCAAATCAAAACCCACCTGTTCAAAACTGCTTTTAATGTGTGACCACTATTGTGTATTTTATGTTTTTAGTGTATTGCTTTTATATATGATGATTTTAATGTAAAGTGTCTTTGAGTTTTATGAAAAGCGCTATATAAATAAAATGTATTATTATTATTATTATTACCAGTGGCGGCTGGTGCAAAATCAGTTTGCAGTTAAATATTTAACATTTATTCCAACACGGAAAAAAGCAGTAAATAACACTTTGATAAACATGTCAGGACATCTTATTTTTGTCACCCTCACAGGGAATTCAGTATAATATATATATACAGTATATATAATATAATAATATTCAGTATAATATAAAACGCATACATATATAGAAATATAGATATATACAGTATATATCTATCTATATATAAAATATAATATAATATGTTAGAACATTATTTATTGAGATGCCCCTATAGACCTTGTTATAGGAGGTAAAGATCAGGAGAAGTAAACATGAAGTGTAATCATGAATACTGATGTTAAATTAAGCTATGATGAGTTTTCACTGTTAATTTACCATCTCAATTAAATGTTGATGCCTCCATGACCAAGTTAAGCAGATGAGACTGAGGACAACTATGTAGAAGAAAAGATGTTCACTTTGCCTAATACAGTATGTAGCTTGACAGAGTTCTCTATGTGTGCCCTGGTGTTCTCATGTTTCCTTACTTCCTCAGACAGGTGCTTCATATCCCTCACTCCCGTAACTGTCCATGCTGGATCTGTCCCCATTGTTTTAAGGTATTAGCATCACTGCATCCAGCTAGCCAAACCTTTCTGGTATACAGCTAGTAGAGAAGCTTCGCATGTACTGCTTCCCTTTCCCGCTAGTCTGCTGTCTGATTGTGAGGTCAGGCTGATCTGGGATCAGCTCTTTGGCCTGCAGAATCTCCGCCAAAGTTCTCCTCTCAAACGGGTCTTGGAGGAGTAGTGCTCGCGCTGGCGTTCGCCTGTAGAGACTTCTCCTGACGAGGACGCGCAAGCTCGGGGCCAAACAACTTTGGCCCCAAGCTGAATCTATTTGAGGACGCTGATTGGCTAAATTGTATGTCACTCATTTATATCTTTAATCAGCAATTGGCTAAACTGCTTCATAGACCCGCCTCCTGTGGGCCATTTCTCGATGGCCCCAGCGCTGCTGAGACATGCAGACAGGCGAAGACGACGTGCAGGAAAAGCATATATTTTGCACAGATATCATATTTTACAAATATTACTGGGTACATGCCATGTTGCAAAAACACAAATATTGACAATTTGTACAATTTATTATTATTTTTTTTAATTTGTTTTGTGGCTCAAGGTGGGGCCACGCCCCATGGCCCTCTATTGGCCAGCCGCCACTGCTGACTACTGATTGCCTTAAAATTTGATACAGACATTGATGTTATCTACAGGATAATTCTTGGGTGATCTTCTTAAATATTCCTACAGCGCCATCATCAGGTCAATTTTCGATTTATCCAATACTTTGCTTTATGACTAAATACCTGCAAAACTAACGATATCGGCGTCAGCTGCACTTTCAATGCTAATAAGCAAATGTTAGCATGCTAACACGCTGGTAAATAGGCTGCCAGCATGTTAGCATTGTCATTGTGAGCATGTTAGCATGCTGACGTTAGCAATTATCTCAAAGACGCACTGTGCTTAAGTACAGCAAACAGTTTATTTTGAAAGGCTTTCCTAAGCCCAAGGATGGTTTTATTCAATAGTGAAAATCTTTCATTTATGTTGCACCACTGCTCAATTAACCTGGCTTAGCTGTTAAGAAGCCAGTTTTTTTAAGACTGTTGCTCTCAGTGTTTAACGTTCTTTTCAATGAAATGATGCCCATGTTAAAAGTAATACATCATCTTACCAAACCAAATTCAACAGTTGAACTTTCTGCATGGTGGGCCGCTCACGTTTTGTCTGCTTTTCCACGTTTATTTCTGTTATGCAGTCTCACTAACTGCATAACAGACTACATAAAATTCTGTGTGGAGAACACCGTACCCACCAGGATTGTACGGTGTTTGTCCAACTGCAAACCATGGATCACTCCTGAAATAAAGACCCTCCTCAAGAAGAAGAAGAGGGTCTTTAGATCAGCAAGCAAGGAGGAGCTGAAGACTGTACAGAGGGAGCTGAGGAGGAAGATCAGGGAGGGGAAAAAAGTCTACAGGACAAAGATGGAGGACCAGCTGCAGCAGAACAACATCAGCGGGGTCTGGAAGGGCCTCAAGGCGATGTCTGGCTACAAAGGGCCCAACCAACACCCTACAGGGGACCAAAAGTGGGTGAATGACTTGAACTTATTCTTTAACAGATTCGATCAGTCATCCACCCATCCCCCCATCCAGTCCCCCCTGCTGCTGCAACCTCCTTTGGCTGCACCCCCTGTAGATTGCCCCCTCTCCTCCACCCCCTTCCCCACAACACTCGGCTCCCCCCCACACTCCTCAAACACTACACTCCATGACCAGTGCCCCTCCCCCACCCCCCTTCAACAACCTACGGCACACCGCCCCCACCTCCCAGCTTGTCCTTCACAACTTACCAGGTGAGAAAAGAACTGAGAAAGATCAAGATGAGAAAGGCCACGGGTCCAGACGGCATCAGCTCAAGGCTCCTCAGGTCCAGCACAGACCAACTCTGCGGGATAATGGAGCACATCTTCAACTTGAGCTTGAAGCTGGGGAGAGTACCACAGCTGTGGAAAACATCCTGCATGGTACCAGTCCCAAAGACCCCACGACCCAAGGACTTCAACAGACTTCAACAGGTCGGTGGCGTTAACATCCCACCTGATGAAGATGCTGAGGCTGGTCCTTGTACATCTCCGCCCCCTGGTGAGCTCATCTGTGGACCCACTACAGTTCGCTTACCAATCTGGCATCTGGGTCGATGACGCTGTCATCTACCTGCTACACGGATGCCTTTCTCACCTGGAAAAGGCTGGAAGCACTGTGAGAATCATGTTTTTTGATTTATCCAGTGCCTTCAACACCATCCAGCCTTTGCTTCTGAAGGACAAGCTGGAGCAGACCGGAGTGGACCACTGCATGGATCTTGGACTATCTCACCAACCGTCCACAATATGTGTGGATACGGGAGTGTGAGTCTGACCTGGTGTCCTGCAGCACGGGGGCCCCACAAGGAACCGTCCTAGCTCCATTCCTCTTTACCATCTACACCTCGGACTTTAAACACGACTCTGCCAACTGCCACCTGCAAAAGTTCTCTTGACGACTCTGCAATCGTCGGCCTCATTTCTGCCGGTGATGACAGGGAATACAGAGAACTGAACCAGGACTTTATAGGATGGTGCCAGCGGAACCGCCTCCAGATCAACTCTGGTAAAACCAAAGAGCTGGTGGTGGACTTCCGCCGGGGTAAACGCTCTCCTCCGACACCAGTGAACATCCAGGGAACGGACATTGAGATCGTGAGATCTTATAAGTACCTGGGTGTTCACTTGAACAATAAACTTGACTGGACTGACCACATACACGCACTCTATAAAAAGGCTGCTGAGGAGACTGAGGTCTTTTGGAGTGCAGGGAGCACTCCTGAAGACCTTCTTTGACTCTGTGGTGGCATCAGCCATCTTCTATGGAGTGGTCTGCTGGGGCAGCAGCATCTCGGCAGCAGACGGAAGAGACTGAACAAACTTACCAAGAAGGCCAGCAGTGTGCTGGGGTGTCCACTGGATACGGTGGAGGGGGTGGGAGACAGGAGGATGATGGCTAAGCTATCATCCCTGATGAACAACACCTCCCACCCTATGCGGGACGCCCTGGCAGCTTTGGGCAGCTCCTTCAGCCACCGGTTGATTCACCCCCGGTGTGTGAAGGAGAGGTACCGCAGGTCCTTCCTTCCTGCTGCTGTCAGACTGCACAACCAGCTGTGCTCCCAGTAGACCACACAACACCAAAAAACACTAGAAATCTGTGCAATAGAAACATACTCTGCAATAAAAATACCCTGTCTGTATATATAATATTTTAGTATTTTAATTCTTTAGTTATACTTAGTTACTGTGGATTTTGTACTTCTTGACTTAGTTGATACTCTTACTGTTTATTACTTATTTACTTATTTATATTACTTGTTGCTCTTGTTTTTTTTACTCTGTATCTTGTGTGCACTGTCCACTTTGCTGCTGTGATCCTGTGAATGACCCCACTGCGGGACTAATAAAGGATTATCTTATCTTATTTAAACCAACCAGAGGGCTCTTCACCATCTCCTACAGTCTGACTGTGTTGTGTGTGTGTTATTTTAGGTGCCTTTTGGTACCGAAACAGATGGCATGAACATCCTAGGTCTGGTGTTATTTGCCATGGTGTTTGGCGTGGCACTGAGGAAGCTGGGAGAGGAGGGGGAAGAACTCATCAGGTTCTTTAACGCTTTCAACGAGGCCACCATGGTGCTGGTGTCCTGGATCATGTGGTGAGTAGAGTTGAATGTGTGTGGGATAATTCAGTGTTATCGATAGTGGTATATTTGGACTGCATCTGATGGTATTTTGTGAGAATACTCAGGATGAAGCAGGCACTAAGCATTTGTTACCGTTATCATCCCACTTTCCTTCCCTGTTAATGCTTACCTCTTGTGTCTCTCAGGTATATCCCTTTTGGCATCATGTTCCTGGTGGGCAGTAAGATTGTAGAGATGGAAGATGTGGTTCTTCTGGTCACCAGTCTGGGGAAATACATCTTCGCTTCAATCCTGGGCCACGTCATCCACGGGGGCATCGTCCTGCCCCTCATCTACTTTTGCTTCACGCGCAAGAACCCCTTCAGTTTCCTGTCGGGCCTCATCACGCCCTTCACCACGGCCTTTGCCACCTGCTCCAGGTACGCTGTCACATCACATGGTACCCATATGAACATTTCAGTGATATAAAAATATGTCAATTATGAGTGGATTTAGACTCGTTGTCAGTGGGGTGCTTCTCAGTTGAATTAGGAGTGGCAGCAATGCACATTTATGGTTAAGGCCCACAGTAATAAAACAAGTAAAAAGTTGACCCTTTTTAGCTTTACCTTGGGGACCCTGCTCTTTCCTCTAGCTAGCTCTACTTTCGGATGAATTTGTACGCAAGAAAGATGAACTGAGGATATTCATGCTTTGCAAAGGGCATAAACTTCCCTTGTGTGCCACGCAAACCGTCAAATTTGCAATAAGATAATAGGCAGATTTCCATTAACTTTATGGATCACATTTGTGCTCCTAAAGGATGAACCCTAAAGTGTTTAGTGACCCCACATGTAGCACCACAGTCAAGAAATACTTTACATGTTTAGCCCCAAAAACTAGTAAGCCTCTAAAAATAGCAAAATAATCAGTATGTTTGTTCCAACGCAATTGATATTGTGCGGTGCATTGAACAATTTAGCTTCTCAGGGCCACTGTTGGGACTTTAAACTCTGCACTACAATAAATGATATAGTGATAATATTGACAGGTAATGTGGGGAAAGATAGAACGGGAATGACGTGTAGCAAGTGATCCGGCCAGCAGGGTATTGAACCAGGAACATTGTGGTATGCGCCCCAACCACTCGACAATCAGGTCACCCCAGGATAACACAATATACAGAGGGTCGTACAGCCTCTTTAGGAGTCCTTCGCAAAGGGAGTGTCCCAAAAAGTAAAGTAGAGACACATTTGCAATCCTCAACAGAACTTTCTGTTCATCAAATGCAACTATTAATGTTATTTGTTTCACCTGAATGGCTGATAAAGATAATGCTCTATCTCTCTGCATTTGCTCACCAGCTCAGCAACTCTCCCCTCCATGATAAAATGCATGGAGGAGAACAACGGCGTGGACAAGCGCATCAGCCGCTTCATCCTCCCCATCGGGGCCACCGTCAACATGGACGGGGCGGCCATATTCCAGTGCGTCGCTGCCGTCTTCATCGCTCAGCTCAACAATTTCGAGCTGAACGCCGGGCAGATCTTCACCATCCTGTGAGAAGACAACAGACACAAGAATGTCCCATGACATTTCCCAGCAAGAGGTCAACTTTCTAGTACTATATAATTCTAAGATTATTTAATCATTATTCATAGGGTGACAGCTACAGCCTCGAGTGTCGGTGCAGCAGGCATCCCGGCCGGCGGCATCATCACCATCGCCATCATCCTGGAGGCCATCGGCCTGCCGACCAAAGACTTGTCCCTCATGCTGGCTGTTGACTGGATTGTGTGAGTAAAGCCACATGAACCCTGCTGAAAACACACGTCTTCACAACATTACAGTTGGGGAAACAAGACCAGGGTTCTCAACTGTTGTGCCAACAGGGGGAAACGGAGGGAAACAGTTAAAAAAAAATAAAAGCCTGTTGTTTTTTTCCCCAAGCAACATTTGCCAATGCGGTAGTCGAGCAAACAAACATACACGGCAGCAGGTTAAACATTAACAAGTTGAGGTACATAAACACTTTACATCTGTTTCACAAGACAGAGGTGCAAAGTCTGGCTATCAAAAGTCACTCCAGGGTTTATTTTCTCGTGTTGTGGAAGAAAAACATCTGAGCTATGAAGATAAGACACTCGGCCTTGTGCAGTGGGATTCCATGTATTCGCTGGTGGGGGCTGATAAGGAGTGTGTTTCAGTGCTTTCTTTTAGTTTTCTTAATGAGGAAATACTGTACCTGTAATTCCAAACAAGAGTTCAAACCCGAATAGCTTAGAACAAAGAAAAATGATTGGTGGTAGTGGCTGTTTACTCCAAATGTTTGCCGAAAGTAGCTGTCCGTCTCTCGCGTCTACTTTGTGTGCAGGGATCGTACCACCACGGTGGTGAATGTGGAGGGCGATGCTCTGGGTGCCGGAATCCTCCACCACATCAACCAGCAGGAGATGAAGAAGCAGCAGGAGCAGCAGCAGGACAGGGAGCTGGCGGAGGTCCGGGTGGAGGCGGTGGCCAACGTCGAGGCCGAGGAGGAGACCTCGTCTCTCGTCACGTACCAAACCAAAGCCTCAGCGGCCATGCCGGAAGCCATTGAGTCTGTCCTGTGAGACTCCGCTAGACTTTTTAATTTTTCTTTTCCCCTGACCTTTTTGACATTTCGGTACTTCTGATGCTGCTGCTGACTGGACACCGTTCTGATTCTGGTGTCCTTTCAAAAAACAAGGTCACTGATGGTTTCCCTTGTGAGGGAGGTGCCATATAGTAACAGTCTTTTTCTAGAGCATAGACAGTCTACAGTGTACATTGTGCTGCTGTTGTGCTTTCCAAATTCGGTCACTTGGTCTCAATAACTGGGATTCCATCAAAGAATTTTCACGCAGATTAGGATATAATGAATTTGAGAATAATTAATTCGGAAAATATTTCCTTAAATTTAGCAAAAAAGCTAATATATATTTTTTAAAATTTAGATTAAGGCATTTTGCGATAAACAGTGATGGAAACACATTATGTGTAAAATATCCCTAAAACATTCCCATAAATGTCGTAGTCTTTGTCTGGTGTGCTGTGTGAGATGCTCACGGCCATACGTTTGTACATTATAGCATCGTCAAGTGCATTTCTTTTTTTATCCCCAGACAGCAAATACAACGACCAACATTAACTGTAGAACACTAAGAACTCGCCAAATGCCGATAAGCTTCTGTCATAACTTAATTACACGTTCGGGATACCTGTTCAATCACTTCAACTAAGCTGGTGGAATGTATTTGCATGTTATTTGTTCAGCTCATTGGCTTTACATTCTCTGCTGGATGGAAAGAGCAAAAATGTAAAGTCAAATCCGAATGAAAAAGGGAATTGTTTGGTTCCAGGTTTAAAAGTTGTTGTTCGTCATAATCTAGAGAGTTGTTTAGAAGATGTGCCCAGGCTTTTATTTCACCCTCTTAAATGACAGGATAATAATTTGGCCTCTTGTGACCTGTTTCTCTAGTCACACACTGTTCCAGTTGGTAAAGCATTTTGAACATTGGACCATTTGAAATGGTGCGTTTGTATGCATGACTTGTTTTATCTCCCCGAATAATCCTGTTAACCCTCGAGTAAACACAATGTTGGGGTCCTGATTCTCTCTTATAGACCTACTATTGAAAATGACCTCACAAAAAAAACAAGTGAAAACATGAGAAGGCACGTAACTTAACTTGCCTTCGTTTCCCGGCTGATATCAGCATTTTCCAAGCACGCTCCTCTAATTTTGTAATGACAGCGGTTTAAGGTTGCTTTACAATTTGCTCGTTGAGTCAACTTTCAAAACCCTTTTTTTGAATTGGATGAGTAAACTGCACATTTCTGTGTGTTGGCATCTTTCTTACCAATTTCTTACAAAATACGTTCGAACAATACATTAATGTTCCAATTTATTTATAAAAGTAGCTTGTAGCTTCTTTGCTAATTGGTTTTGAGAAATACATTACCAAGGAGTCTGAAAAGTAGCTAGTGGTTTGTTTTGGGCTTTATTTGCTAGCTAATTAGCCAGCTAAAGCAAACATTAACATCAGCTAACTATGATTGTAGCTCTCATTTCTTGGCTAATGTTTGATTAGCTAATATATATATAAGGTGTTTAGACTTCGTTGTGGTTAGCTGACCTGATACTTAAGTTAACTAGCGATTGTAACAAACTAAACAGGTGGTATGAAACGATTGATTTATGGTGAAAATATCAGCTCCCAGTCCAAAAAAAGGACAGAAATAAATATATCCAGTCCTGTTGAGATAGCAAACAACAAGCTACATAAATGCAACCCGCTGTTGTTGTCCAAAAGCTGAAAACCTCCAACATGGTGGAGAGCTATATGAAGGCATCATGATGAGGGTCGTGTATAGAAAGAAGGTAACCAACAAGTTGCAAAACTTTCACAAGATGGTTGAGGTTAGGCATTGACCACGGATGTTTACGGTTGGGCAAGGTCATTTGGAAACAAGTTTTGCGAGGGTTTTCGCAACTTGTGGGTTACCTTCTAGACACGTCCCTTGATTATGTTAAGTTCAGCATTGACCTCAAAAGGTTAAGGTTAGGCACTGACCTCCAATGATTAAGTTTAGGATACGTTGTCGGGCAGCAAGTCTGGCGTCAATGCGGTATGTTATACAGTTTGGCATTAAGGAAACTGCCACATTTCGGATGGTTTAAGCAAAACAAAGTCTCCCTTTAGGAGGCCGGACTTGACAGCGAATGGGCCTCTGCTGTCCTCCAGTGGTGACGGGTGTTAATGTGAAAGTAGCAAACTGAGGGTGATGACGGCAAATATCCTGGTTGGACCACTTTTGTGTCACAGTTTTACAACTGGCATCATGTAATGAAATCTGCGGTAATATTTCCTATTTATTTGATCCAACATTCATGAGGGAACAGCTGGTGAAGTGGCTGCTCCTGTGATATGACACTGTATTTGAATAGGTGAAGGAGTATCATGTATGTGAACATGAGCCTGGGGCTGCTTTAGTTTTGTATCACGGCGTGTATGTTGACACTGTCCGCCGTTAAGAGGAAGTAAATCTGGTATTTCTTGTCATTTTAGATCGAACAGATGACTTTTCTACGCTAACAAGTGCTCTGTTAACCTACAGCTTTGTGACTAGATTCTGTTGAGTATATCTGCTACAATCACATGTGATTACACATAATGTGGTACATGTATTTGATATATACCTATATATTTGATATTAATTTATTGTAATTGTTTGTACTTTCTCCTTTCTAACACTTTCTCTCAGTGTAAATTGTTTTATTATGATGTGATTTTTTAAATGAACACTCTTGCCAGTATTTCTGATAACCTGCTGTCAGCAATGTACTTTAATTCCTGTTGAGTTTTATTTTTTTTTAGGAGTATCTGCTGCCTTGATGTGCCATGTCAATGTGTAACACTGTTAACAGTTGTCTCTTTGCTGTTGGTCCTGCTGTCTGTCAACATTAAAAGTGATACAGTACGTTTTTTCATGCAACCCAAACTACAAGGCTTCTTGTCTTTGTCCTCTTTATTAATAGGTCGTATTGTTATTCGGGGTGTCTGATTGCATGCAGCTGAATAAAAAAGAACTAGAACCAGAGGAGCAATAACTGCACATTTCCATGCAGCTGATAACTCATACAGGCAGGGACAGTTCCCCCTCTCTAACAGTTTTAATAGACATTTGTGATGCGTAAACACACAGATGACCACAATATGTTTGAATGTTTCTGCAGAAAGTCATAGAGGTCGCCAGCACAGTGCATTAATGCAGCATCTAATGACTCCCGACCTGATTAAAACTTAAGGTGAACAGCTCTGACTTAGAGTCAGAGATGGTCTGACCCTTGGGCGTAACAACATCCACCTGTGAACTGTAGTTTTTACATTTCTGCTCAATAACTTCTATTTCTGTACAAACAATCATTAACTGTTCCACTGCAGCGGTGGACACGGGCGATTTACGAGACAATGGGCCCCTGGGCACAGGAATGTAAAGGCCCCTCCAACATAAGGCCAAGAGCCGCATATTCAAAGGGACTGTTTGGCGGTTTTGCATCTCTTTGTAGTCGTCTTACACCAGTTTTTGGTTACTTTATGTCTCTCTTTGGCCATTTTTTGTCTATCAATGGTCGTATTCTGTCTCTTTATAGGTGTTTAACGCCTGTTTTTGGTTGTATACTGTCTGTTTTGGTTATCATGTGTCTTTTGTTGGTCATTTCCCATCTCTGTGGTAGTTTTCTGTCTCTTTGTGGTTGCTTAAAACTTCAAACAAAGGCTTTGGCCCCAGGACCCCCAAACCTGTTGGGCCCCTGGGCCTGTGCCCAGTAGGCCCGTTCAGTAATCCGTCCATGGTGGCGAATGTTACTGCTGTTACTGAAAATCTTTACTGAAAAAGCTTTTTTTGGTGACAAACCGCTGTCTGAATGCTGGTATCAGACACATCTTAGAGAAAATGTGGTCTATTTAGCTGTTTTACTGATCCATTAACCTTCCATGTCACTTTAATTACGAGTTTCAGCTGACACCTGAAACTCTGACGCAGGCAACCTTGGTGAGACATTTTCTTTTTTTTTTAGCCGAACATATGAATGCATTTGAGCTACAAGACTACAAAACTACTTTTTCCACACTCAGAAAAATTACATACAAAACGTAAAACTGGCACACAACCAAGTCTTGTGGAATCCGCCGTCCTGATCCCAAATATGAGTTAAAAAACAGTGGTGAAAAAGCATAACAAGTAACTAAAGATGAATAAAATTAGTAACCTCTGATTGTCACTCTGTAGTAGATCCAAGAACAGAAAGACTAAAAGTTACAGCTTGCGTTGAAACAATTGGTTGATTCATTGATGAGCTGTTTAAGAGAAAATCCATCCGGTACTATTCTTTAATAGGTCGCCCTATAAGTGTAGTAACCTGCTGGAAAGTATAGGGTTTGTACGTTGTTTAAATTATGAAAGGTTGGGGTTAAAAAAATCAGCTTTAAATAAACCTTCCAACTGAATGATAACGATATCTTAGAGTCTCCGAGACACAGTCACTTAATAGCTTCACAACACTAAGAACTCTTGAATTATGACTTGACTGATTGAAACCTAGCCCAGCAGGGACAGGAGGTGGAGGTTTGGGTCTGTGTCTCTCTCTTACTATTACGACTCACTAATATCACTAATAATAATAATAATAATAATAATAATAATAACTTTATTAGAAGTATTAGAACAAGTAAACACACACAGTCCTTGTCTTTTTCAGTCAATCAGTGTTTCAATTCCTGCTGCTTTCTACAACTTTACTTTGCAGATAAAAGATTTTACGAAGCTTATGAAATAGTCAGCTTATTAAATATGATGCCTTGTTAAAGATTCAATTTCCCAACAATAAATAAAGTAGGTAATTGGGTTCACGTTGCTAGCATGCAACATTTAAATACAGCTTACATGTTGATGAACCAATATTAATAATCAAATAATATATATATATAACAACATATATTTAATATATAAGATGCAGCTCAAAGTGTTTTATCAATAGGTTATAGGTTGTATATTATATACAACATGCTTGTACATAATAGCTTTAAACTATTTTTATGTCTGCTTATCTCTTGTTGTAGCTGAATGTATTCTGTATGTGAATTGTGTAAACTTGTATGTAAGTACATTGAGAGCTAAACCTATTTGAGCAATAAAGCGATTTCTGTTCAGATTCATGCGCTGCTGTAGAAATTCCGACAGCCGTGAAGGCAGCAGGGATGATGCTGCCTTGGATCCATATTACCTTGTTAGCAGGTTGCAAGCTAGCTGAACACAGGCGGTACAGTGCGGCTTCTAGGGGGATGTCCCACCCTTTCTAATACAAGCTCAGGACTCCCGTGTTTTTTTATCGGCTCTACAACAGCGGGACTAGCTTCCAAACTTTGGCAAAATGACGACGCGGTCGGAGCGAGAAAAAGCCCAGAAACTGAACGAGCAGCATCAGGTCATCCTGTCTAAACTGCTGAGGGAAGAAGACAACAAGCTCTGTGCCGACTGTGAGGCAAAAGGTAAGCCTGACAGTGTTTGCTGTGAACCATGTCAGGCATGCGAGTATAAAAAGATGAAATGATGGAATGATGTGGGAACTCGGCGGCTAACGGTTTGCTAAAGCTAGCAACATATTGTAACGTTATTTATTGGGGAGTCACTTCTGTAGAGCTACGCTGAACGTTACATATCTCTTAGCTTAACGCTAGTAACTAGCTTAATACCAAAGTGTGTCACGTTAATTCCGACAAAACTAATATATATTTTTCCATTTTAATATGTTTATGTTGTGCAATGCAAACAGAGTCGGTGCTTGTCCAGTCAGAATTAAGGCAAAAACGAACTCTAATGAGCGACATTTGTGCAAGTAACCAAAAAAGTATGCAACTTCCGTTTATAATTTTCAAAATAAAATTCCCATCGCGCTCTTGCGTTATTTTGTGTAGTGAAAAGAACGATAAGGAATAATCTTTTTATTTGAATTCGAATAGCACAATAAATGAGCTACAATGAGAGGTTAATGATATCACGAAATCGAATATTAGCTGAATGTTTATTTTAACATGAAAACTACATAACACGTTGACTGCTTCATTGCTTGCATCAAAAATGTATAATTACACTCTAAATACTTGATGAATTACAGGACGAGCAATGTTGGTATTTCTATTCGTCATTGAGTCTGGGAGGCTGATGGTGCTCTTTTGTTTATGAGCTTCTAATGTTGTCCTTCTCGCCTAGTATATATTTTTGTAAATTTGCTCCGAAAATTCATGCTTATTTTGAAATCAGATGGGCTGTAATTCCGGTTTTGTATCGTATGGCTGGGGCTAACTTGACGCAGGCTTTATCAGACAGTATATCGATGTCATGTCCTTGACTGGTTTATTTATGAGCGGAAAACGTGCGAGTCTTGTGTAGGCAACATTAAATCAGTGGAGTCGTTTGCTCGCTGAATGTGCTGCGTAGAAAAAGCATGTCTGCATCAGATACTGTAGTATTTTTTTATTATTTTTTGCAGCTGCAGCCAACACCTTATCTATGACTCGCGATGCGCTCTTTAAAACGCCCCCAAAACTACATTCAAAAATACGAAAGTTTGAGATCCCCGTGCACAGACTCTTACTTACAGTTTCATCGCGGAGTTTTCCTTAATCTTTAGGACCCAGTCTTTAATTCGGCAGCAATCCAATACATCAACCCGCCATGTATTCTAATACGTTTTCAAATGTGCATGCTGCAACTTGATAATTCACAGTAGTGAGTGGTCACAACATAAAACAGATCAATTTAACAATGTTTTGCACAATGGATTCATAAAAAAATGATCCCATGATCGTGCTGTTACCCAAACGTCTTAATTAACCTACTTGTGTTTTTATTTTTTTTGTAAGTACGGAGGCATGAAATTCCCCGACTTTTGAGTGGGATTTGAACGTCTCGTATTGGGGCTACCTATGACTGAGATTAAATGCCGTTTGCGTCATCACCATGCCTATAAATGTAATCTGTAGCACCAGACCTCCCTCAGCCGGTGACTCATGATTTACTGCTGCAGCTGCATCTCTTTCCCATTATGTTATATTAGTATCCGTTTAAATAGCATTTCATCATCCTGGCCTGGGGTTGTAGCTCCCAGCATGCACGTATTGACTGCACCTAACTTTAAATTACCAACATTTTTACAGGATAAAATACAGTAACCCTTTCAGACCAAACACACTTTTTTGTATTTATACGAAGTACATTCATAATAAATAATGTCCTAGTTTAAAAAAAAGATTTTGCTCAAATTCCACTTACTAGCTTCTTACAGATCTTTCAACGGCCTCGCTCAAGTCTTTCTCAGTGGATTGAGTTTCATGCTGAATCTCTTAAAACAGCACTCTGACCAGATCAAACTCAAAACAAGGCGGGAATGACGCGTCGTTTCTGACGCTTTCAACCACAACTCATGGTCTTCCTCAGTGGAAGGAACTGCTCGGGTGCCATGGACCTGGTTTTATACGACCACGTTTTATCATACCCATTTAAATGATTGTTCTCTCTCCGACACAATGTATATAATTTTTTCGATATATAAAAGGTTCATTTTATATCAGTCCTGTTGTCATACTGCTGATTCTCATACAGAATTCCTATGATTATAGCAGCTGATCAAGTGTTGCTCTTTCCCACTGCACTGCATTATCTGCATCAGCCAGTGACCCTGCAGCCTGAGGCGCGTTTACTGACTGACTCATACAGCAGCAGCATCCAGCCAGGCCCGATGTGTCATGTTCGCTATGTCACAGCTATTTTTATCCAAACAAAAAATGGGCGTTGCACAATAGTTGCCACTCTGAAATAAAAAAACAATTGTTTTTAATCCTTACCGTGTCAGTCAGTTTTTAAGTGCAAAAAGATAAGAAGCTCTGTCACTTTTAAGTCCAACTTTCATTCCAGCATGTTTTTTTTTTTTTTTTAAATATTGGAACTCTTAAGGACCTGTTCAGATTAAAAACGATACAATGGATAAGCGCAATAGGTAGTTTACCTTGCAGTGCAGCAGAGGGCGCTCTTAACTGTCACTCTCTGCTCAGCCGGTCTCAAGCATCACTCTATATGGGTGCCGTTCCATTGAATTGGAATAGATTGCGTGTTAGCTTGAATGCGTTGTGGAGAAGTGGATACAGCTGTTATCAAGAACTATCATTACACCGCAAGTAATGCTGAAGGTGTCTTACTAAATGTGTCTGTAAATGATCTAAATGTACTTTGAAGTGGTTTTATTTTGAAAAATTGTAAACTCAACAACTGCATCATTTCCTGATTGTTTTCATGCTGAAACCAGAAAAGTTTGTTTGTATCTACCGACCATGTGATTATGTGGTTCACATAGAATGTAATATTAGTTTCAATAACATTTATGATGTTTTTTGTGCTAAAACATTAAAGGGACAGCTCACCCCAAAATCAACAATGCGTATTCTTTCACCTTGTGAGCAGTTTCATGCAGGAACTATTTTCTTTCAGCCAAAGTTCTTCCATGAGAATGCACACAACAAGGGCCTTGAGTCACCGGGTCATGATACATTGTAGAGACATTGTATGGATATATTTTTTTGCCGCCTTGAGAACAACAAGCCGAGCTCCACCTGGTCCTACTATTTTAGAGAGAGTGCAGACATCTCAACGGCCGATATCTCCAAAACTCGGCAGCTCACAGCAAAACCATCTGGATTGATGAATAGCACATGTAAGAGGTGAACTGTCCCTTTAAGGACCTCTTTTTTTATGTGAGTCACCATCTCTTTGTCATTTGTTTCAGTGAATTACCTGAAAAATAATCATTTCCTGTAAGTTCTGTACGTGAACCGGGAGCTGGTTTTTCCCTCTTTGAGTTTGACGTCTCCTCTGGATGCTGCGCTCCAAACCCAGCACAAGGCGGCGTGTTGGGTTTTATTCACCACTCGTTTGGTTCGATTGATTAGTTTGTATCTGTTGGTTTTGTCCTCGGCGTCGCCGGCTGCAGTCGGTGTGTGCCGGGCGTGGTCAGTGTGGTGACTCACCCGATCCTCTCGGCTGTAATTCCACCCTCACTCCCGTCTCCTGTCTACACACACTGTCCTACATTTTGTGTGTGTGTGTGTGTGTGTGTGTGTGTGTGTAGGCGTGTGAGAGAGAGAGAGAGAGCTAGTCCTTATTGATTGCAGTTCCATTTCCCCCCTCGTCCTTCTTGGCAGCTAAATCTGTCCACTACTTAGAGTCCAGACTATAATTTTCACCTTTGGGTTCAACACAATGTCTCTCTCTCACACACACACACGTGTGTGTGTGACACATGTTGCACGGGAGTGTGTGTTCCGATTTGTGGCCAGGGGGCGTGGTGTGTGTGCGTGCAGCTTGCAGCTTGGCAAGCGCCCAGCAGGGGGCACTCTGCATTTTGACGACCCGTCCTTGGTACCCGGCTCTGCTGTCACTTACACACACACACACACACACACACAGGTTCAGCCTCAGTGAGAGGAGTGCGTAGAGGTGGCCGGTTGGGTTCAATGTCACATCAAATTGTGAGGGAAGTTTTAAATGCAACACAAACTTCATTTATTTTTTCCATTTGCATTCAGCGTGAAGGAAACATCTAAGACCCGACGCGTCGTTAGCGTCTGTGCTAACGTCGACCATAAGTCACGCCGATGAAGGCCAGAGAGAAGACACACACTCGAGTGTTCTCACTCATCAGGTGATAGCTGTGATACAACAACAGGAGAGATATTTATTGGTCTGACATTTCTCTCTGACTCACATTCATCTGAAGCCGCTTTCACACTCCCAACACGTCGTGTGAGTCCACAGTGTTCCCGGAGATGTTTGAATCATTTTTTTTTTTACCCAAGCAAAACAAATCCAGGTTTGCGTTGTGGTGACAGATCCGACTAAAGATGTGCTTTGCAGCTCACCGTGATTAATATGAAAGTCTTTTGAAAGGAACAAAAAGATGGCTCATCTCTGTGTTGTGTGCCGAAGCCGCCATCTTTGTTATCCTGCCTCAAAGACAGGTATTAAAACACTTTTTCTCTTCTTCGTTGACTAACACTCACACACTTTTGTCGACTAATAGATTAGTTGATTTAATCGATGTGTAAAACTGAGTTTCTGCACAAAGAATCGCACAAAAGCACCACTTTAAACCCTAAATCTAAACGAGTTTCTTAGAAATAAGTTCGGGATGACACAATAAAGGCTTTTACTGCAGATTTCCATAAAGAAAACACTCAATAAGTTGACTTGGGAACAGCTGTCTGGTTCACTACCGTGGTGAAGTGAAAAATAGTGTTTGATTTCATTTTTATTTTTAAGATTGTTTTATTGTTTGTTTCTCGCTAACAAAAGACGAGTGTCCCTCTGTGCAGTTGCCAGTTTATTAGGTACACACAGCTAAAAAAACAAAATTGCCAATTAACGTTGTGTCGTGTTTCAGCGGATGACTGTGTGATCTTCCTCTGACTGGATTCATCTCACTGCCTCCTATCAGCAG